TTATGATGCAGGTGCATGGTGAATCAATGAAGTTTTTCTCGAAGTTTTCAACGTAGCACCCACAGGTAGCACCAAAATTATTGCAAGACACAGTAGGAAATAGAAAAACAAAACATCACAATTTTGCAAATATCTAAGACGAAACTATAAACAGAAACCAAAAGCCAAAGCCAACAAAAAATCACTAAAATCAGACGGAAAAATGAGATTAACCAAAAACATAAATAAATACACGTCACATCTTTGGAGTCTTTGGGTTTTTCTCCCATAAAGCTTAAAAATGGAGTAAGAAATCAGAATTTTACCAGTAGCCCCATCTAGAGTTTGGAGCAAATAGCATAAAAAATGTCAGTTGTCGGTTTTGACCTTGGTCATTCACGTGGAACCTCTATGTGCTTTGTGATACAAACTCTCAATTTTCAATTCAAAACCAAAACATATCTACATACATTTAAAATAAACAATGTCTTGCGCACCAAGAACTACTAAAAACCAAAGAGAGTTGATAATAAACTTTTTAGAACATCAAAATTTCACTGAACTGTATTATAGTTCAGTGCAAAATAAACCCAACGAAATTGGGTCTATAATATTAACTATTATGCTGCGTTTGAGAATCCACATCGGATGCATTTTTTACATCTCGAGCGTTTTTTTATCCACATCGGACACATCTGTCCCATTACATTTACGTATACTGAACCACGTGATCAAAGATTTTTTACATCTCAGATGCATCCGATGTGGATTCTCAAACGCAGCAATAGTACTGGCTACATCTTTAAAATCGAAACATATTTTTAAGACGTACATTTGGTAACTGAAATAGATTGCTGAAGTCCCTAACTGACCTTGGGGTCTATTCTGTAACAATTCCTTTATATTTAACGACCTTTAGGGTCTATTTATACTCCCTTAGTATCACAGAACACTTACTCTTAGAACGGTAACTCCCATGTTAAAAAAGGATGATAGAGTTTTTAGCGGCACCTGGTGGACGTGGTTGATTTTTTTCAATTAATTCCTTGTCTGGTAAGAGGCCATATGAAAGAAGAGAAAATAATAAAAAGAAGAAGAAAAGCGCGGGACTATTCAAATTTAACAGTAAAAATTATCCGCATTAAAAACTGTTAGCCAAATTAAGATTTGTTCACACAAATTGCATTTTTGCTTTATTATAGCGAATATCGCTATAATAAAGCAAAAATGCAGTTTGTGTGAACAAATCTTAATTTGGCTAACAGTTTTTAGATAAAAAAAACAAGAATATTCAAAAAATAAATTTATTAAAGAATATATATAATACAAATCCAATATTTAAAAAATGTAATGTATATGAAAATTGTATTATGTATGAAGTAGCTGGATGGCTGCTACATATTCCAGGATACAACACTGTCCATCATTTTGTGAAGAACTTTAGCTGTGAAAAAAGAAAGACAGTATAAGTACAATCTCATTAAAATAAATGTATTAATAAAAAATTATAAGTCCGAAGAATACTTTATTTTTTAATAAGTCCAACATCTACGATACAGCTTTGCAACCCCAAACGTCATGAAACACAAATTTCACAGTATATGCAGCGTTTAAGAATCCACATCGGATGCAACTGAGATGTAGTAAATCTTTGATCACGTGATTCAATTTACGTAAATGTAATGGGACAGATGTGTCCGATTTAAAATAAACTATTTGAGGCGCTGTTCTCCACATCTCGGCAAATGGACTAAAATAATAATTTATAATACTCTTACCTTATTTTAATTATTGTGCCACTATACTGTATTTGCTCAACCAGAATGAGTTGCAATGATTGCAAAAGTTGCAGAATAGAGGTCTGAGGATAATACTGAGCTGTTCGAGATTGTAACCAATCAATTCCATGTTGAATGTGCTTCAGTGGTTGACTGTTAAAAAATATTTGCTATTCTATTCCCTGCTTTTTATATTTAAAATTAAATTAGGAATCTCCAGAGTATATTTACAAAATATTTTAAGTTATAATCAGGATGTTCATGAACCTAAACAGGTAACAAGAAAAATGTACACAAAATTCAGTGTTTTTTAAAGGTGTACAGGCTTTTAATAATTTGCCTGAGGATATTAAATGTTCTTCAAATGTGGCAATATTTAAAATAAAACTGCATGAATACCTGTTCACCTATTGACGTTTTTTTCTCTTTCTTGTTCTTTTATTGTTTTGTATAGTTGACATGTAAGTGTACTGTATCTTATGTATTTTTTATTGCATTTTAAATGTATGTTGATTCTATATTTATGTATTTTTTATATTTTAAACGTGAAGATGTATTGACATGTAAAAAATAGTTTTTTTGACTAAATAAACGTTTTATATATAGGTATGTGGATAAAAAAACGCTCGAGATGTAAAAAATGCATCTGATGTGGATTCTCAAACACAGCAATAAGTATAAAATAAATAAGTACTAACTTTCCTTCTCGAAAAGAAGTCCAACATATATTATTAGTCTGCTTCTTCTTCTACGATACAGCTTTGCAACCCCAAATGTCATGAAACAGAAAATACACAGTATAAGTATAAAATAAATGAGTAGATTACTAACTTTCCTTCTCGAAAAGAAGTCCAACATATATTATTAGTCTGCTTCTTCTTCAAACCTTTACTTGAAGTAGAAGGTGTTTGATCAACATATTCAATTTCTACGTTATTTGAGGAAAGTCCATCCGCTACTCTTCCAGGAACTGCTGGTAGGAATAGCGTTGGAAATGCTTCAGGTGTTAGACCTCGACGAGAGCCAACTACTTTATACTTCTCTTCAAAATGTTTATGACATACTACAAAGGTGGAATAAATTTGTAGTCTTGTTTTATTATTAAATCTTGGACAACGAACAGCAAGTGCACAAATATCAAATAAATTGGGTGAATTCGTAGGGTGAGGCAGGCGATGCATCTTGTTGTCCACAACAAGGCAATTCGGTACACATTTTCTATAATTACGCATCTTTATGAAAAACCACAAAATAACAGCGGAAAAAGCACAAATTTATAATGGAAAAACAAGCTTATTAACAGTGGTCAACTAAATCAATTAAGCAAATTGGAAATGAAAACAACTGAATACAACAGTCACCATCACCAATATAAATAAACAAAGTTTACGTTTGGTTTAAGCCAAGACGCCATGACACCCCCACAAAAATCAATATTCACCTGTCATTTACACTCCCACCACCTACCCCACCACCCGACTGCAGCGCCACGCGGACGTGGTTGATTGATCCCAGGCCTGCGCATACCAGTTTCCCACCCCTGCTTAGTATTAGTATTTGTATTAGTATTATGATTAAGCATTAAATTTGTTAAATCATTCAAAAAAGGCATTTATACTCGTTTTATAATTAGTATTAGTAATTCTTTTTTAAACCTAATACCTAATAAGATATAATTCTGCAGTCAACAAAATATATGGTTACTGAAGAAATGTGTAAGAGGCCGGTTGTGTTCTTTTAAGATATTTGAGTTTTAAATGTGTTCCTATTAATATTTTTACTAGTTAGTTTTATTTAAAAATATTATTATTCAAAAATAGGTTTAATTAAGGACATTTTAACGGATTTAAAACTAAAATTTATAACAAATAAAAAGAAGCAGAAATTTGATACAAATCAGACAGAAAGAGGCCTTTGCTTCCTCGTGGTGACATGTCATTTGTCAACTTTATAATCGGTGAACACTGCTGATACACAAAAATTGTATACAGAGCATGATTTGTACCGAAATATTATCATTTTCGAGCTTGTTGGAACAAACATATAAACAACATAATCATATGTGTATTGTCAATTATCCTTATCCGTTGTCTATTAAAAACAAAGGCCAAATACGCAATTGATTATTTATAGAAAAGAAGAAATTTAATGTTTAATTTAAAAGTTGAACCTGTCAATTATTAAGCATAAATATTAATGCTAATACTAATCATAAATCGAGTATAAATGTCCCCATTACATTGTGAAGGTTCAACTTAATGCTTAATCATAATACTAATGCAAATACTAATAATAAGGGAGTATAAATAGACCCTTAAAAATATTGGCGGCCTATAAAAATATGTTCGTATTCGTTAATTTACTTCTGTCATTATTTAAACAGATTTCTTTAAGATAGTCCTCTAATGTATTTTAAAGATCTGTTTAAATAATGACAGAAGTAAAGAAGAAAATATTTTTAAAGGCCGTTAAATATAAAGGAATTGAAAATACATTAGAGGACTATCTTAAAGAAATCTGTTTAAATAATGACAGAAGTAAATTAACGAATACGAACATATTTTTATAGGCCGCCAATATTTTTAAAGGTCGTTAAATATAAAGGAATTGTTACAGAATTCTGTCATTATTTCAACGGATTCCTTTAAAATAGTCCTCAAATAACAATAATTTTTAAAGGACTGTTAAAATTCGCCTTTCATGTTTAACGGTTTGGAATTGAAAATTGAGAATTTGTATGGCTGTTTTCAAACTATAGTTCAAATAAATCTTAAATGCGATTTTGTCAAGTGTTCTTCTGCCATTTTTAAGGGAATCCGTTAAAATAAATAATTTATAACAGGCTTCTAAAATTTGTGTATACAACAGTGGTGTATTCTGTAACAATTCCTTTATATTTAACGGCCTTTAAAAATATTGGCGGCCTTTAAAAATATTCGTATTCGTTAATTTACTTCTGTCATTATTTAAACAGATTTCTTTAAGATAGTCCTTTAATGTATTTTAAAGATCCGTTTAAATAATGACAGAAGTAAAGAAAAAAATATTTTTAAAGGGCGTTAAATATAAAGAAATTGTTACAGAATAGACCCCACGAATACCATTTTCGGTTAAAAAATTAACGGGCCGCTAAAAGTTTAATTTTTAAAAGGCCTCTAAATTTTAACGGATGTGTTACAGAATATATTCCTATATCCCTTGAAAAATTCATCTGACAACACTGTGCTTGAAACCTGTGAATAACGTCAAACTGTCAAAGTCAAAAATATTACATCATTTTTTGTTGTTTTATTTATGATAATTTAGGTATAGAAAATTGCAACAAAATATGGAACTAAATACTAAGTTATGAAATTAAATTATTAGCAATATTTTCACTTATTTACAACACTCGTACATAAAGAAATCCAAAATGACTGTTATTAAGGAAAAACAAAATTTTAAATATCCTTCACCCAATTCTGCCTCTGCTTCAGATACAGAATCTCTGCAGTAAGTAACAAATCATTTTTCAATTTCTTTAAGTCATATTAACATATTTAATTGTAGTTTGGGAAGTATATCTGCCAGTGATACAGAGTCAATAAACAATGAACCAATTCCTAATAGAATTAGAATAGTAAGACCCAAAATAATAAAAGTATCTCAGGTCGAAGAATTGATTAATATTAAACGGAATTCAGGGAGAAAGAAGTTAAGAAGATATCAGAACAGTATGACATTTATCGATAATTGAACAAATGATGAGTTAGTTCTTTTGTAGGATGTACTCTTCAGACTCTAAGTGAAGAGGAAGAAAATGAAAACATGGTTGTCATAATGGAAACTTACAAGGGGCCATTTGCTCGTCTCTTGGACGATAAAGAAGCCTTTGAATACTGGCAAGAGTTCATTGAGAAATCTGAAGAAGAACAAACTGAGATCATTAAGGCTTTGACGGAAAAATATCCAAATGAAACTGTTGTTGAGAATACAAAGAGTGATATTCCTGGAAGGATATCCTCAAGGATCAAACGTACTTTTAAAATAAGAAAGAATCTTTCTTTGGAGATCGTTCAAGTTTGTGAAGAAGATTTGATACAGTTTTTTAAAGCTACACCAGATGATCGTTATATTAAAGTTCCCCCCACAAGTTTTGATAGACTTATAATACATGCAGTTGCTCAATATCACAGATTAACTTCAATAAGTAAGTAATTAATTGTATTTTTGGGTAAAGTTGCAGGAAAGGTATGTACTGAGGCGCATCCTGGCCGCGCCAATGACATATATAGTTTATATAGACTGCTTATCCATATATAAACAAGACAACGAAAAGCGGGTCATATTGCTCGTCTTGCCGAGTGCTCACCAGGCAGAATCGGTCTGGCCCAAATGAGTGTAAAACTCATATTTCATTAAAGTAGGAATTGAATTAAAAAATAATAATTACCTGAATGTTTACTTCAAGACAGGAGCTTGGTTAGGTATTTTGAAAAAGAATATTTATTTAAGTCTTAAAGTTTAGTTCCATATTTCCAAAACATTTTAAGAGATCTAAACAGTTTTACACTCCTGTATAAACATCTTATAAAAACGATGTGCAATTAACATACCTCTTATATTATCAAATTTAACAGTTATAATTAATTTTTTTAAATTTGCTGGAATACCTATAATGTATTCATTCTTGCAAATTCAAAATGGCCATACCCAGTTGAATTTGACCATAATATTGGTGTTTTTTTTTTTAAATAACTTCATTCTTCACATTTATAGTTAAATATTTACATGATTTGTAAAATTCTACTTTCCTAAATGTACGATTTTGAAGTGTATTTAAGTATTTGATAATGTAACAAAAAATGCATAATTCTTGATAATATAAAAATAATGTACAAAATAACAAACCTATAAATGGACATTTGATTTCTAATAATTTTATGAGTTCACCTTTATTGTTTATTATTTTAATATGTTTATTTTTGAAATAATCAACCCTGTCTCCTCTACAATAATAATATCATTAGTTGCATTTATGCATGTCTGTCGAGCCTCACCTTCATGCTCAATTCTATGTAGAACAAATCTAAAACATATCAATTTAAGACAGTATATAATACTAAATATCTTGTTAACCATTAACCATTTTTTTTTAAATGTCTATGTATTCATATAAAGGATTTAATATGAATAAAAGTTCACTTTATTTATCTGTTTACAATCATTTTTGGAGTGTCTTTAGTGTAAGTATTAAGATCATAACACCGAGAACCTGTTATTCTATATTTTCTTTTAAACTGCTAGATCAACTTGTCTTTCCTTGTTAATTCTGCAAGTATGCAGTTATTTTCTAGGAATAACATGCCATAAACCCTCTAACAAATTCTTTTTTTATTTCTTTCTAATTTAAATTTAAAATGTCTCTTTTACACACATGATTAATAAACTCGCACTACTTATAGCTTGCAGCTTACTTATGTTTTTCTAATTCAGAATTAGGAGCTACAAAACAGAGTTCTTTAAGGATATAATCCTTTTTGTCAGGCATATTTCATCTGTTGGCGTAAATAGAGTAGAATTTAAGGCGTGCTAGCTCTTTATAAAGGTATCGCAGTTCTTTCTGGGCAATACTAAAGTTTGCAAAAAATTGAAAACTTTTTTATTATGCACAAAATTGATTCAAAAAATTACATCTATTTTTTTACATATTCTATTTAAGTATGTAAGTGTCGTATTTTGAATGATTTAAGTCGTCAAATCCTTAAAACATGTCGGCTCATTTAATATTAAGAAATTTAAAATAAAACTTAAAAATAAGCCAATATTCAGTGTTATTCGGAGACACATAGTCAAGTCAGACGAGCCCAGGAGAAAAAAAAACTCGGGCCTTTGAATATAATATTTATATTTATGTAAATGTATTTACAATAAAGAATTTGTTATTAATATTATCATTATTATAATTATTATAATTCATAAATGTATTTACCTTGTAACTACTTGTATTGATACTTACGTGATAAATAAAATGTTACTTTTTATATTTCTATAGCTTATCTTATAGAGCAGGTTTATAGAGCAATTCGCCATTTAAATTCAAAAACAAAACAATTTTTTATATTCAATTAATTAAAAAAACTTAAAACAGAACATAAGTATAATTAAAATTTAATAAAATGAAGAATCCAAAAAAATGTTCGACTGAGCAATGACAGTGACAACAAAATTTCAATTAAACTAAACTTTCTTCTAAACCGGTTCTGTATAAGGTTTGTTTACCAGTGAGCACTTACAAATGAGACAAAACACAAACATTGCATGTACTAGACAAAGAGAAAACATCTTCCAGTTCGACCCGCTTTTCATCCCTTTATTTACATATGGATAAGCAGTCTATATATACTATATATGTCATTGGGCCGCGCATATGAATAATCTGGTTTTATGACAGTATAACTGTACAACGTTGCCAGATTGCTACTTTTATATTATTAATAAATAATATCTAAGTAAAATAACAAATAAATATAAACAAAAATAGACAGTGACTAGCAGTACATCGGATGCACGCGTTTTATTTGTACATCGGTCTCCTTTTGACAGAGTAGGTGAGCTGTGTCCAGGCCGTTGGTGTTTATGCCAGTCGGCATAGCCAGGTATGGATTTAAAGTTTCTGGTGGGGGCGAAGCCGCCACCCTACGGGAAGTCATTGCTTCGTCTTCTTGTTGTCACGGCATTATTATTATTTGTTCTCAAATAAAGTTAGGTTAGAATTATGTTGTACAAATAATGGGGGATACATCCGATGTACAAATATTTCGTGTACATCCGATGTACTGCTAGTCACGGCGACAAAAATACCTTTGGCTGAAAGTTTTCTTCCTCTCAATAGATTGGAGGACTTGCTTTATGGTAAAAAAAGTTATGTAAAAAAGAATAAAATGAATTATTGAATTTGAATTAAAAAATGAATAGAAACTACAAAAATTATATTACATACCTAGGAAATAGAAAATTACAACGTGGCAACAACGCGATAAATATAACATTTACATAAGCGCGACCAGGATGTGCGTTAAGTACATACCTTTCCTACAACTTTACTGTATTTTTGTTGTTCAATAATATAATATTAACCAACTATTTAATAATTATCTTAACCATATAAACTTTTACACTCCTTTGCAAAAACATATTTCATATTGATGACTAATGATTCAATTTTATCACTATATAGGAAAAAATTGCCTACAAATTTAACAGTTTTAGTCCACAATTTTGTCAGGTTTAATTTGAAAACAACAGTCCATGGAATATGTCAGTTTCTCCTCCATATCTAGAGGAAGAATGCCTAAAATCCACCAAATATTTGAATGTTTCAAATGTCCCAAACCTATTTGCAAAAACTGTCTTGTTTCCCTATTAATCTAGTACAAAACACTCCTATTACCAATTTTCCTAATGGTAAACTGCTTTTGATGTGTTAGCAAAGCTCCCAAAATTATTTAAAAAAAGGAATGTCACATGTCCTTGTGACTTTTTAAAGTTTAAAATGTCTTTTTTTACAGCAAATGTCTTTTATCTTTGGAAGAGACATGGTTTATACAAAAATATAAAGGTTAAGGTTTTTTTACAAGCTTGGCAACCTTTTTTTTATACCAGAGCACCTACACTAAAACTTATAATAATAATATTATTAATGATAAACTAATCAAGGTATATTACAAACTGGCAGTTCCAACAAAATTCTTTTTAATTTAGCATTAAATATACCCAAAGTAGGACTGTTTTTTATGGTGTACAACATTGTAGAATATTAGGAATTGTAACTGGAACTTTTTGGGCATCTGGAAATAACACTCATTCATTTAATAAATTTGATGAAATAGAGAGTAATAAGAGAAAAATGCAACAATAGCTTCTAAATTATTGGAGTTCATTGCCTACTATTAATAGTTTTGAACCTTATTCACTTCCTTATCTATCTATATTTCTATATAAAGAGAAGTATATGAGTTACTGACTTATCTATTATAGCTTTGGAAAGTTTACTTAGTTCAGGAAGTAAGCACCCACTATGAAAAGATTTTTTTTAATTCAACTTAAGTCTACTGAATTTAGAATAAATATAAAATATTATGTCAATAAAACTATTTTAATTTAAATTTATAACTTTAATTTTAATTCACCAAGCTATCGAACATCAGGCTAAATAAACTTTAATAATGTGTGATTGTTTAGCTGCAGAGACCATGAAAATAAAAAAGTTTGGCTTTGTTATTTTAATCCCTACACGTGTGTCTTTTTTTCCACCGGTTTGTTGGAATCGTTTTTTCGCCAATGCGGCCTTGAACGCCTTTTGTTGGATTCGATTTATTTATGGTTGACCGTTGAAATAAATAACAGTTGACATTTTGGATTAAAATTTGTGTTTATAATTTTATTTGAATGTACCTATTTACTTTAATTTGGACGTATATATTTTTAAAATCTCATTTTTTCGGTTTTCCTACAAAAAAACAAATAATTAATAAACTCCTTAATTCTGATTAATTCCCGCAATCCATAGCTGTCAGTTGTCACATCTAATCGGAAAAACCATACATTGAACTGGTGTAATGGTGTTGCATCGATTGCATCAACGTTGGATAAAAAGACAGCACTGTTAGTTCATCACTGATAGATTAATGAAATAAAAGACATGTAGATACCGCACCGATGTCAACGTTGCTGCAACAGTTGGATATAAAGACACACGTTACACCTTTACTAATGTCGAACTTTTAAAACAAGAATTGGACAAATTCATATAGCCTTGATCTGTTAATAAAAAATGCATTTTCTAGTCTCAGTCTCAGCTATCTCCACCAACTTCAATCAACAGTTACTCAAAACAATTTTATGGACTTTCAAGATCATATTTTCCATCTTAGCCTATTTTGTCCTACCTGGGTGCTCTGTATGCATAGTGCTTGTATAGCCATGTTTAAAATCTACAACGCATGTTTTGACTGTTAAAAATGATGAAGCAGACTCGTCTAAAGTAGAATCCAGCTTTGCTTTAATTTCCATGGGACCCTGTCAGTCATTTGCAAGAACATTCATTAAAATTTAGTAGAATGATAAATTTTGACAATTGATTAGACTAAATAATTTAACGTTCATGTCATTCAGATAGTTCAGTCTAATAAAGTTATGGGGTCATTAAGTTATTGATAGATTTAACAAGCATTCTTGCAAGTGGTTGTTAATGTGATATTTTATGACTGTGAATTCAAAAAACTTCATAGCATCTTTAAGGATATACATGTGGGTAAATTGAATGATGCTTTGTGAATTAAATTCTTGTTATTCATATTTGTTATTATGATAACATGGGTGGTTACAGTATTGCCCTATATTATTTACTTTATTGTAGGTGTGATTTTGGAAGACGGTACCAGGAAGTCTGTTGAAGTGTACAACAATGACAAAGATTGGGCACCGGCCAATTGCCATTTGACAGATTTTATTAGACAGTTAAGGAAAGCGTAATTATGCAAATAAATATACAACATTATTAATGTGTGCTTCTAGTAATTTTAAACTTTTTGTGTTGGTTCTTTGTTGTACCTGTTTCGTTACCTAGACTTTTACATACTTAATAACTTAGGTAGTTAAATAAAAATTATATTTTAGAAAAATTAATTATAAATATGACTTTATTTATATGATGTAGGTTTTTAGCTGGTTATTTGTTGGTTTTAATCTAATTAAACGCATTTATAAGTACGTTCCTTTTCTTTCTTTAGGTTTTTAACAGCAATCCATAATACAAATACAACTATACTTAATACATTTATTTGGTTAAGCTTTTTACATTATGAAAACATCTCAACTTAATACAATCAATATATTATATACTTTATAATTATATAAACATTAATATACGATTTATTTACAATAAAAGTTTATATATACCTAGTTAATGATTTGAAAACAGAAAAATATTAGAAGAAGAGTTTCAAACAAACAAACCTCATGAATTTTTTATTTTAAATAAGTCATTGTAAAAAATAATACCAGCTTTTAATATAAAAATAATTTAAAAATTTCTAACAAAAAAAAAATGATTGTGATATTCGTTTGAAAGCCATTTTCTTAATACTCGAATAAAATTAACTAAAATATTAAATAAATAAAAATTACAACTATGAAACAACAAATATCAACCTAATTTCATTAGGTTTATTTAATTTTTGAAAATTACTTGTATATTTAAGTATAAAATATATTATGGTTTTATGAGGTATAGACACTAATCACAATTTCCAAAATTAATGCCAACTCAAATCGAGAGCTACATCAAAATGTACTGGATGTTTTTAAACTGTATTAAGGATTTCGATATATATTTAAAATTGCATTTGCCCGTAGTAGGCTTTAATATCAAATAATTGTCTTGTGTTGTGTTTAATCACATTTTGATAGGTGCCATAATAAGGATGAGGACACATCCCACATATCCAGGACTGTCTTGAATTATTCAGAAAAAACGAAAATCTCAAATTTGCGTTTTTCAACTCTAGCGTTTTTATCAATATACTTAAAAATGTTACTTTTCGTTTTTGTGGAAACTGCTGATTCTCAAAATGAGAAACTGATGTCATCTGATCAGATAAATAAGTTAAAAAAGTATTCGAGGTGGAAAAAGAAAAGAGACAGATTTAGGTAAAACATGACAAGAGAGAATAGAAGACCAGAAAAAAATAAGAGGGTTGCGTATAGGACTAAAATAAATGGAAGAATTAACACCAAGAAAGATATAACAACACATAATTCTTATGCCATAACAGGCATATCAATTTTAAACGAACAAGAAAATAGTTACTTCTTTGGATGTTGAATTACGTTCTATACCTCATGGATGCACCACAATTACGATAAGTACAGGAATATAAATAAACTTATTAACAACAAATTACAATACCCCTTTCATCCACATAAAAGCAACAACAAATAAACTTGATTTAAATATTGTTTTAGTTTTTTTATTAAATATGCTTAATAAAGTATAATTTATAACCACCGTAACGTAACTTAACTTAACGCCGTAGAAACTTAACCTAAGATATAAAAATAAAGTCTATTTATAAATGTCCGTAACGTAAGAGTAGAGCATGCGTGTTGATTTCAGAGATTATCAAATTATTGACAACCTTATGAAATAAACAAGTGTAAACTATGTACTTAACCTCTAAATAAAACTTATAAATTATGATTTTGCTATATAGAAAGAATATATTAACTACTTTAAATAATATAAAAATATAATAAAACAAAATAGTTTACCGAAGATGTTGATTGTTTTTGAGCAATAATGAGAATTTAATCTTTCCTAGCAAAAAAGTTTTGTCTTATTTCAGTTCTAGACTTGATGTTTATAGGTATATGCAGCTACACTCATATCTCATAGATAGTTTATCCCCAATAACATAAACACAAATCATTCATGATAATGTATGTCCATCAAAAAGGAGAATGATAGTTTACAAATGGTATTTTTCTATTTATTTATAAAAAAAAATAAAAAGAATAATTGACAGTTATCACATGCTGAACGCAGAATTATCTCATTGGCTAACCGTAAGGTCTTAAGTTAAGTTATGTTGTTAAGTTAAAAGTTGGTGAACTTTCTACGGTACGTTAAGTTCTTAAGTTACGTTACGAACATTATAAATAAGTATACGTAAATTCAATATTTCAACTTCTTACGTTAAGTTCTTAAGTTACGTTACGGCGGTTATAAATTAAGCTTAAGAGTGTAATCATGTTATCAAGTCAAAATTATGTCTGGTATGTTTGTTCCAAATTTTATCCAAATAGCTCAATAAATAACATATTAAGATGGCCCTAGTTTCATTGTCGCCCGGTAGAATAACAAAAAATTGTTTACAAAATGTTTGCCCAACGTTAATATTCGGAAATAATTTAAAAATTATGTCAATAAATTATTAAAAGTTTGGCAATGTCGCATCGCATGTATAAATCGTAATTGCATATCTGTTTATAACTGAAAAAGATAAGCATATTTAATAAAAAATAAACCATAACAAATTAAAGGGTAAATAATTATATTTACACACTTTACAGTATCCCTAAAACTAGACAATACAGACACCTTTTTCATAAATTTTTTTTTATATTTGGTTTCTGTATCACAGATTTAAATACGTTTTACACAACCAATTCGATATTTGGATATGAACATGATTCACAATTAGTTTTTATTTTACATATACACATAATTAAAAAATAAATCAATAATTATAATGAACTATAAAAAGGAAAATATATATTTAATATCGTTCTAATCATTTGGAGAAATACATGTGGGCGATAACAGAATAAATAAGATAAATGGCCAATACTATGTAAATATAATTCCAGAATACGCAATATATAAGATACAACAAAAATGTAAACACCAGAACCACAAAAATCAGCATATCGTTCTTCGTAAATTTTTTTGATAAAATAAATGTATTATGTAAAAGTAATAAACAGAAATAAGACGGAAAACTTCTTGAGAGAAAGAATCCTGTGGTTTGGGTCCAGTTTCAAAAGAAATTCAATCCTTTTTCCACCTTAGATTCGTGTTATACTTCGATGAAGGTACGGAATTCATTTCCCAAACCATTTCAGGGTGATATACGAGCTTCGATCGATTCAAAGGGCTTTTAAACTAAAATTTGTCATTTTGACGCCCGACAGAATGGTCTCAAATGACAATTTAGATTTTAGAACGCGTTGCCAACTTAATCGGAAGCGCCATCTGCGGACTTAAGTAGACACACGTTTTTGAACTATCCAAACATTCATAGTAATCAGATATCTACAGTGTGGATCATAACTAATGGGAGATACAGTAATCACCTTCGAGCATACAACTGTACATAGAGTCAACATCCAGATGAAATAGTAGTTTTCCTACGATCACTAGGGAAAGCGACACATATCACATTATTAAGTTTAATGGGAAGTGTCCTAATAATTTACTTTCTGTAACAGCTGTCAAATATGTTAGACGTATTTCTATTTTGATTTAGCGAATGTATATATTAATATTAAAATCGATTTGATGATTAAATTGTTAACATTAATTTTTATACCTAGATCCTAGATATTTATTAAAATAATTTAAAAGTAATCACAATATGTTTGTTTTCGTTTTTTTTTTCTGGTTTATACACATATTTGATTGGATAATTCACATAAGGCCTCATGGCTCAGATCGTTAAGGGTTCAACTTTAGATTTCGCAACGCGGGTTCAATTCCCGATAAAAGCAAATTTTATTTTTCTCTATTCTGGAATAATATGAAAATTGAAAAAATACGTCTATTGTTGTTTATTTATTTTAAATACATTTTATTTGAAGGTAGTTTTATTAAAATTTACGATTTTTTTGTAAATATACTCTTAGAAGAATATCTTGTGGAATGGCTATTTTTATCGATTCTTCACAATAATTACTCATTTTCAATTATATTTAATATCAACTAAAAAAAAAAACTGAATTAGTTTGATAGAAATGTTACTTATTTAAAAAACAATTTAAATAATAGCCTGGTCACCAAGTGTGATTGGTGGATTTCATATTGTACAGTCTTACTAGAATGGATAAAATTATATCAATTCAGTAGAACGTAATCTCTTACTTCTGTAGTCTGTGCGTAGAATAGATATTATACATGAGAGTGTAGAAAAATACATTTGTATTTAAAGGAAATTATACATTTAAGATCATATTGAAATATTTAGTAAGATAAGAGAACATGGTGGAAACTGTTTTAACTGTGACAATCAGAAATAAAAAAAACCAGTCAATTCCAAACTATGTGGGTGTACTTCATAATTGTAAAGCTTTTTAAATATTTTTTAATGTTTTAACAGAAGACAAATCAAGCGAAATTTACCGGGATTCAGTTTTTTGTACTGATATAATGTACAACCAGTACAAATTGTAAAACTTATTTTAAACCATTTAAAATTAAGGATTCAACTTTTAAACTCGAAAGATTCAATAGAAATCTTTTAACAAGGTCCATTTATTCAAAAATCGGTTAATTTATATTTTAGATTTTTAACCAAACAAATCTTATTGAATGGTGTCTATATGTAATAAATATGCTCGAAGGTAGCCATAGATTTGAACCCAAAAATATGAGGATTGTACCAAATATACCGCAGTAAAACATTGCTGTGGAAAAATATGAAATATAATTTTTTATTTTTTGTACCAATTTCACAACCTTTTAATAAATTTTTACTGCTTGACATTGAGATTTGTTATTTTAACTGATAGGAAGGTCTTGTGACATTGGCGTTTCTAATCGATTACCAACTTGATTTGGGAATTATGCAGAAAAAAAAAACGTTATTACTTCAACAAGAGAAGTGTGTAATGCTTTGATGAAAATATAAAAAACAATTTCCATTGTATTTTCTACTGATATAATCTCAATCGGGTGCATAAAAGAAAAGCAGTCTTGTTCAATGTTGCCTTTCTAGTTATAGCAGAAGCGATTACTCAACATAAATTGTATGTATTAGTTTATCAATTTATGAAAATAAATGGAGGAGACTTTCCCCATTTAAGAAATAATAAAAAAAAAAAAAAAAAAGAATTTCTTTG